CAGGAGAGGATGTTAAAGTGCGTACTCTATCTGGAGTAGTTTGGAAATAAATAAGAGAATCAAAGATTTTGTTAAATCTGGCTTTCTGCATCCAATTGTGGCCTCTAACTCTTATCTTCTCCTTGTCACCTGCTTCTTGGATGTACTGATATGACAATAGCCATGAAGTCATCGAGGAGTTCTCTTGCAACCTTCCTGGTATGAACATTACTATCATACATACTTTTATATAAACTTATAGTAAGCGTTTCAAACCCGTACGGTACTTGGCAAAACAAGCTTTGCTTCTTTGCTTCTTCTTCGCTCTCGGTAGAAACCGGCGTTGGACTGGGCTGGTACCAGTATTCATCTTTCGCCGAAGCAAAACCTCCCAAAGATCAAGGAGAGGAAGCGCACAGAACACAAACCTTGGCTGCAGAGGAAGAGGCTCGATCCGACCAAGAAAGTCTGAACCCACTCCATTAATCCTCAAGAAGTAACAATGAGCAACAACATGAACGTTTCTTCGATCCTCGAGGTGAACTCCCAGTCCATTGAGCACCTTCGTGCGGGTAGGTTCAGTGAGGCCAATGAGGGCCTTGGGCAAGTCTTGGAAGGGATGAAACGGTACATCCAATCATCGGGTCCGTCAGAGTCAACGGATCTGGGTGGGAATGCCATGATCAGTGAGCAGCAGCAGCCAGGCAAGGCTGCTGTAGCTGCTACGGCTCCTTTTGTCCTCCGCACAGAGGACGTTCCCGTGAGGACGGGGGATACCGCCAAAGACGCGGTCCTCTCGCTTTTCGCCCGAGCATTCTCCGTCCCTGTTCTTCCCATGACCAAGGGAGAGAAAGCTGCTTCGTTGATGGCCTTTGTATACAATCTTGCCTTTGCCCGCCACTCGGAGGCCCTTGCTACCCAAGATAACGTGCTGTCTCGAGCACTACTGGGACAGGCAGGAAAGTTGTATCAGACAGCCTTGAGAGTGGCCAGCAGTCACCTGGAAGACGAGCAATCCCTAGACGGCTTTCCATGCCTTCTATTGGCCACTGCCAACAATTATGCCCATGTCTTTGTGGAGCAGTTTGATGCCCAAGAAGCCGGAAAGGGTGTTTCCATGTTGCACAGCCTGATGAAGGAACCTTCCGTGCTGAGGGAAATGCCTGAAGAAGACTACTCCTTCTTTGAAAGCAACGTGATTAACTTCCTGGAGTCTCCCTTGTTTTCAATTGCGCCCGCAGCCTAGCGTTGTAAGGGTTAGACCGTAGCCTTTTACGCTTGTGTTGGTTGCTCACAAGAACAAGAACCTCATAGCAAGCCAGGCTGGAACGGACAGATTAACAATCACTCTACTCAATTTTACTAAGAAATGCATTCCAATTATCTACCTGCTGAAGCTGTTTGCCCCGTTGTCTCGCTCGGATAGGTACCGGTACTAGTGCCCTCTGCTACTTACAAAGGCTCTCGTGCCATGATGACATAGACTAGCTAGACTAGCTACTAGTAGCTTCAGCAAGCGATGAGGATGTCCAAAGAAGACAACCGTTAGTAACATGTACGGAACTCTAATTCTCCATCCAACAATCAAAGGATTAAAAGGCCCACGTCTCATGCCAGACAACAGCGGTACGATCCACGATCGAGAGTCAAGATCCATCACAGCGACTGAGGACTCAACTCAGCGACTTGGTGCTTGGTGCCCGCCACAACGCACAAAGGAATACCACACAAAAGAAGAAGATACCGTACTCAAGCCAAAGCAACATGTCAGACTCTGTCGTTCGGATCACCCACCAGTCGTATGGCAGCCGCATTGCTGGCTCTTGCAAAGCGCTCTGCTTTGTTCCCATCTTTCTGATTGCTGGGATTTTGGTTCTTTCATGGAACGAGGGGAACCTGGTCACTCAGCGCAAGGCGCTCGACGAGGGTCTCAAGTCTGTCGTTGACATTCCCAGCACGGAATCCGTCAACGCAGAAAATGAAGGAAGTCTGATTCATTTTGTCGGCACGGCCAAACCCGACTCTCAAGTCACCGACCCCATTTTTGGGGTGGCGCCTCCCAATGCATTGCTCCTCAAACGAACCGTCGAAATGTATCAGTGGACCGAATCGTCGCATTCCGAAACGCGCAAGAACACCGGAGGTTCTACCGACACCGTCACAACCTATTCTTACTCGAAAGAATGGAAAGATCGCGCTGTCGACTCTGGATCCTTTGAAGAATCTTCCGGCCATCAGAATCCTTCTGGCGGAATGTTGTTTCCTTCGGATACCATGGCCGCCAACCCGATTCATGTGGGAGCATTTGAATTATCCAGCGCCGTGGTTCAAAAGATGTACTGGTATCAACCACTCCAATCGGGCATCTCGGTCGACACCATTCAAGATAATTCCACGCGAAACCAAGCCACAGTGTTTGGGAGCCGCTTCTACTTTGGAGACGGCAGCAGCGGGTCCCCCCAGATTGGAGACACACGAGTGTCCTTTGAGCAAGTTCCATCACAAACCATTAGCGTCGTGGCAAAGCAGATCGGAGAGAGCCTTTCTTCCTACACGGCCAAGTCGGGTGGTTCTGTCTTGCTGGTGGAAGCCGGTCCTCATGACGCGGTCGAAATGTTCAAGCACGCCAATGAAGCCTTGACTATTCAGACATGGCTCATTCGGTTGGGCGGTTTCCTCCTCATCTATTTTGCCTTTGAAATTGCTATGAAACCTCTGTCCGTCTTTGCCGACGTTTTGCCGTTTCTGGGGGATTTGGTCGAAGCGGGCACCAGCGTCATTTCCCTGTTGCTGGCAGCTGTGTTGTCCACTGTGGTCGTAGCCATTAGCTGGCTGTATTACCGACCCGTCTTATCCTTATTCTTGTTTGGTGTGGTGGGTGGGCTGCTCTTTGTCGCCAAGAAAAAGTTGGCGGAAAAGAAGGGCATGCATGCCATACCCGTCGTGGAGGCAGAAGCCATCGAAATGCCTGATGCACCCTACAAAGACAGCATACCCAGTATCCCCATTAGTTCGATGGTTTAGCCAGCGCCTCCATTGATAGGGCAGTCCTCTCCTTCTTCCGACTTCCCCCAAAAAGGACGTCCAATCACCACGCGTGAGGACAAAACATAGAACCATCACATTCGTTGAAGCTCCAAATATTGCTAATTTTCCTATCCTTTAGAAATTCCAAATTTTCTCCCATTGCAATTATCAGCCTTTATAGATTTTGTGCTTTAGCTTTGCTCCCTCCTGGGGGCGGCCGGCAGTGAGTGGATTGGTCGTCCACTTGAAGGTTTCCTCCTGGGTGGCTGCAGCGGCTAGCGCCCATTTGTAGTTGAGTGTATTGAGCCAATCGGCCGGTCTTCCACTGGACACGTGGTTTCTTGTGGCGCGAGAGAATATTTGGGCTGTAAGAGGAGGATGAAAAAAGACGCCGAATGTCGATTGCTGCTGATTTGTCTCTGCTCGTCATCCTGCAAGAGTAGGACAAGTTGTGTTCTTCCATGTATTCCAAATCTCTGTCAGAACAAGCCAATTCCAATTCCCAGGAGCATTCTTCGGATCATTGTTGAGCAGCATTCCACATTTTTCGGCCAGTGCGTGTATTGTTGCATCTTTTTCGGTGTGGTCCAAGTTCCAAACACGGTGGATTAGGTCTCGGTAGATGGAAAGCTCGTCTTCCAGCAGGCAACACAGTCTGTGGTAGCTCTGCACTGAGAGTTTCGACGAGGATCGGAACTGCTCGCTTCCGTGGGTCAATTTGAGTTGTTTTCCTTGTGGTTCACCTTGGAGCTGATCGGTCGTTGCTCCTACCTTCTTGCCACCCAACTGGAGGTTGAGTTGTGTAAAATCAGTCGCCAGGTGTTCTGTGCGAATCCCAAACCACTCCTTTCCCTTGTAGACATCAAATACCTTACTCTGATAGTGATGATAATTGTAGCGTAGATGAGGAATTGGGAAGAGGAATCCCTCGCCAATAATGTAGTCTCGGGCCAGGCGGGCACAATCGTCGTCATTATGATCTTTACTAAAACTCAGGGCACTCTGCACAAAGAGTTCCATATCTGATTGAGGAAAGCAATTCACAAAGAACTTTGCCAATTGCCGCCGTTCGTTTCGTAGTTGATTGCGTCCTTTCTTCCTGGTTGTAGCGGTCGCTTTTAGCAGGAAATGGTTGGTACAAGCCTTGGTGGAGTTGGGAAGGAGTTCTTGATCGCGACAGTTGGCTGGATGGCTATATTGATAGGCTGAGATAACACGGTCGACAGGATTTCGCAATGCCAACAGCCAACTGGTGGCAGGTTCCATTTCTTTTGGGGGAATTGAATTCATATGAGCATAATAGACTGTTTGCAGTGCCAAAGGTTGCATAGCAGGATCTGCAGTGCCAAAAGTCTCCATCAGGCAGTTATGAATAGTTTCTTTGGTCACTTGATTTCGTGGTAGTCGGCACTTGAGGCTTGTCATGGCTCTCAAGCTTAAGCCTCCAGATTTTCCAACATGAACTAGAGCAATGGTCCTGTTGGGCCGATACTGCTGCCAAGAACGGTAGGTTTCATCGGAATGGAGCGGCTCAAGATGGTTCTTGTTCGCAGACAATATCAACCAAACAACCACAACTATGATCAGCAGCAGCAGGCGAGGCCGTCGACACCACTGGGAACCGAGTATTGGTAGCATCGAAATCTTCGTATGCATTCCCGGTGATTGGGCTACCACACCTAAAATTCAATCACACCACAGCAGTGGCTCCAGCTGTTATAACTGGATCCTTGACATCCTGATCCTCTCCTTCAAAGGTTGCTGCTACTGGGTACTAGCTAGCTAGCTAGTGCGAAAGGACTGGTAGGAATGATTCAATCGTCGGAATTAGACTAGTCTACCTGTATGTGATGGGTGGTGGAGTTGATGGGCGCATGGGCAGGCGCTGTGGGCTGTGAGAATGGAGAGGAGGTGTGTGGAAAGATCCAGATCCGAGATCCACAGCTCGAGTGACCTGCTCATCACTATTTGCACGATTCAGTGTCAGACGTCACATCATCAGCATGTGAGTGAATTCGCATCCACTTTTTCCGAAGGCTTTTCCTTTGCGAAAGGTGATGGCCTTGCTGTGGGTCCGTCCGTTTGGTTGATGAAGATAGATGGGGATACCCCGAAGTAGGCCCTCTAGGAATCCCCTTGAGTGGCAAACGAAGGTGCTGTTTTGGTTGTGCAGCTCTATCGTTTCGCGGCCAGGTGTTGTTGTCTACCAGCTACGGTACTACCGGTGGCCTGGACCGATGTTGGCAACGAGTTGGATGCGTCGTCTCAGGTAGCCCATGTTCGTGAAAGTTCATATACATGTAGTCTAGTGGAAGTCTTTTATCTAGTACATGTAGATGATCTTTAGTGTTTCTAACGTATTAGCAAATGGACCAGGAGCACAACCGATCGTACACGTAGAAGGCAAGAGTGGATCATGAGACAGCTAGACTGCGTGTTGACAGCCAAGATAGACGAAGATGGGAAGGCATCACGAGCAGTGAAAAGCCATGTAGGACAGGTTCGCCTTGAAGGAGAGCCAGAAGTCACCCTCTGTCTATCCTACAAGTTCCTTGCGAATGTCGGCGATGGGGAGCTCTTCGAAGTCTCCACGTCCCTGAACCAAAGAACAGAGAGGGCAGGAGACAAACTCAGATGCCCAAGCCACCATCTCATGGTCGTCTTCGTCGTCGTCATCCGTGACTAACGCCACTCTGGGTGGGTTGTAGGAATGCTCCCAATGGTCGCACTCAAACTGGTGCCTCGTTCCCCGGAGAGCACCAGAGAGGGCCGTCAAAGCTTCGTCCAAGGGAAGAGGCTCGAAAGGATCGACGTCCTTCTTCTTCAGGGGTGGCATTGGCTCGAGCTCTGGCTCAAGCGTCTCGTTCAGAGTAACGCCCTTGTCATGGATCAAGGGAATGGCCTCACTGAGATCCTCCGACTCGGCTGGCCAGACTGGAAAGTCACCTTCGCACGCTTCCACAATTGGACCCATGTCATCCTTCCAGAAATGAAGTGATGGCTCGGCACTGACAGGCTTGGGTGATGCATCGTGAGTGGGACTGCCAAGCACCCCTCCCGTGCCCGGCTGGAGCTCTTCCTTGCAAGACGAGCACACACCGATTTCATCAGCTTTCGTAACAATGCAATCGGGATCAATCTTACCCCTCGCAACGTCTCGCTTGAATTGTTTGTGCTGTTTGCTAGATTTGTAGCCAATCGTGTCGTTCAAGGCATCGCGAAAGGCTTGGGCAATGGTCACCTTGGCGGCGGTCGTCGTAGCAGTGTAGTATCGCCCCGTCATCGCGTCCTGCTTGATGAACCCGATGCCGTCGGCACAATTGTTTCGTATCTCTCGCAAGATCCGCTTGATGATCGAGGACTTTTTCGCTTTGCGGCCCACCGAGTAGGCCTGAAGCTCCGCCTTGACCATGGCCCGAAACTTGCGGTTGCCCTCGTTTTGGAGGCAACGACGTCCACGGCCAATCATCACCATGTTGGGTCCAACCAAGAAATCCAAAGGCAGGAGCTTTGGCTCCTCCGATTCGCGGGGTCTCTTCATGTAATGCATGATCAAGGTTGCAGTCCTTCTATTGTCAGGGTGTTTTGGTTTGGTTACTTGTTTGTGTAGAGTAAGTCTATCTTTTTATGACAGCCAGGCTAGAAATAATTCCGGTTGCTTCGCTTTTCAGGTTTTGTGAGATGGTACCACTCGTATCGTCAGCGCGCAGTGGCCTTCTCTTTGCTCTTCGGAGGATTTTACATGAAGGGTGGACAACGGCAGTACAAATTATTAGCCGAAGCAATAAAGAAAAGTAAACCCGACAAGCAGCGTAAGGCCTTCGGAGATACCGTCCGTCGCAAAGAGCAAGCAGTGATGGAATCTTCGCATTTGGTGCTGCTCCGGGAACTTCTTTGGTGAATGCTTCCTCCCCTCGATCCATCAGGAGCCACCACCGTTGGCGGTCTGTGGGTGAAAAGAGGACAGGATCGAAGCAGAGCCATTATGAAGATTCGATTTGGTTTTCGGAGCATTTGGATGTGTGGAGCAGGGACATGGCGTTCGCAAAATGCTGGCCATGTCAGCTAAATACAGAAATACAGCACTCATGGGGCTGAATCCAAAATTCTTGGCCGCACATGCGCACATGTGATATGTGATACACCGGTACCAGTCAATGCTGAACATCCAGCAGTGCATTTTAGCTTGCCTACTAGCAGGTACCGGTACCAGGTACTATCTCTCTTGATGCGTTGGCTGGTTGAAAGCTGAAGTACTGAACTTTTAATGCCATCCAAGCAGATGTGACTTCAAATTCATGCCTGTAGATCCAGATTCGGAGGCCCTCCAGGTCGTATATAGCTTACAGGTACCAGGTACCTTCAATGGCAGCTGTCTTAGGGTCTGATCGCAGGCTCCATGCGCTCCTGAATAATGCTCAAGGCAATCAGCTGGTAGTATAGTTTAGTGGCAGCTGTCTCGGGCTAATCAGGTTTGCGAACAACTCTCTTCATCTTTAGAAGAACAAAATAGAGGTCGGTCGGAAAGAATCTATAAGATACCTTTCCCAATAGAAGGGTCAGGGGGGTGGCACAAATCAACTTCATTTGACTGTTTGTTTCCCTCACCTTCCTAGATCGCTTGCAACCGTCTTGGCGCCAGGGTTGAAAGCGAGCGGTCGAAGGCGGTTGAAGGCGGTTAAACAGATTAAATAAGGCGGTCAAAGGCGGTAAATCGAGCGGTTGAGCGCGGTGCGAGTCCGAAGATTGTACTGAAGTCCGTTTATTGAAAAGCTTGTTGGGAGCGATCTAGGAAGGTGAGGGAAACAGAAAGTCAAATGAAGTTGAATTGTGCCACCCCCTAGGTTACTGATCTGCATCCAAGGTTATTACCAATCTCTTATCAATCTCCAAGACAAGACTGCTCACCAATCCACAACCGAGGGGTACTGGTACCCGGTACCCCATATCCTTGACAGCTGACATATTGGAGGTGCTTTGCGCTTCGGGTCAAGTCTCACCACAGATAGTAAAGCCATCGAAGCGGATAAACATTTCATGCAGGAACACACGCGGCTCAATCTTCCGCTGGCGAGGAGTGGTGTTGAGGGACTACACTGCGTGTAATGTACATGCAGATCTCCTGCTTTCGCTTGAAGGCCCCAAAGAAAACACCATGATGCAAGTTCCGTGAAGGCCCCCTGGTCTCAAAGCAGCCAACTATTTTCAGAACACCTTTGCTCTTTCGACCTTCGAAGAATCACAGAGACACCAACAAGTCGGCAATCACATGCTGGCTTCTTCTCTGAGCATAGTTGCTGGAAAGAACCGAAGGAAATCTCAGTGCTGCTGTAAGGTAGCTATGGAGCCCGTAATCTGCTTAGCATGTCGCCTTTGGCTGGCTGGACCTGCCTCCACAGCGCAACCATGGGGTTCCACTGAAGAACTGCCTTTCGAATACAGAGTCTCTTCCTGGAAGTCACCGTTGTTTCACTGGTTAGCGAAGGGCTGCAGGAAGCTGAACTAGTCTAAGCGAGGTGGATGCTGGAGCTATGTGTACATGTGTACTACATAGTATGCTGGATGGATTGCATGATTTGCTTCCCTGGCAAAATGAGAAAAGGAGTCCTGATTCTCTCTCTTGATGCTCTTCAATCAATGGGTTTCTGGATTCTTCTAAGCTGAATGTCGTCACTGCGAAAGCGGCCAATCAGCGTTCACTCGAAAGAACACGGATAAATGAAACAAGAAGTGGTGAGCTATTTGTTTTTATTAAGTTATAGCCTTGAATTTAAGACAACGTTGGTCGAAACTGAATTCTCGAATTCTTGGACCACGGTAGCTAGCCTATCGGTATCATACGTGCGTTAGAGTTGATGATTCGTAGTTCTTTGATATCTTAAAAATAAGTGACAAAATGAAACCAAAAGAGTGAAGAAGCTATTGAAGAAATATCAAAGGTCATTTTTAAGCAGTCACTGATGACTCTTGATATTTTGGCTTTCTGAGCGTGTACAAAGAAAATATTGCTTCACTTTTGCCGAGTTTGCTCTCACAAATCAAAGGTTGTCTTCCTCTTGCTAGTTTGCAGACTTCGTTACTCTTTGATCTCTCAACAATAACCTTCACAAACATGTCATCTTGCAACAACTGTACTGGTACCGGAATTGGTTCAATGTCTACTCCAAGATCGCTTCAAGGTCTTGAATTGCTTGGAAATCTTGCAGAGCCAAACAATGAAGGAAACAGCCATCAAGCGAATACAAATCCAACATCGGCGAATCAAAGCAGAAGACGTCGTTTGCATGAAATCCTCGAGGAAGCATTGGAGCTTGTGCTTGATGTGGACTTTGAAGAGGCGGGACAAGAAGGCCAAGGCTCTGATGATTCCTCATCCGGGTAATGCGACTCAAAGCATATGCTCCCCAACAAGCCAACAAGTCATCCTCTTTAATTCCGCCCACTTACTTTTGAAGTAATGGATGACTTCCAGATCTTCTCGGCGTTTACAACCTGACGCCCCTCGGCTACAAACGAAACCTGATTGTACATATTCTCCATGAAGAAGAGCAAGCAAACTACTTCTCTCTCAAAAATGACTACCTGCATTTTCTATTTTCTGTATGCATACACGTAATCATCTACTAAGACGCTGCATTCAAGAACCGCCTTCGGCATCGTACTTGAGCCTTGCTCTACTAGCTAGTCGAAAACTGTGTTTTGTTTCTCTGGCTGGAATCGCTGCTTCGGGATGCGCACATACAACGCCCGGCTAGTAGCTGGACCAAGCAGTGAAGCTCGGAACAAGCAATCAGACCATGTAGCCAAGCCCTGGCCGTCGAGTCCATGCTGCTTGAAGCATGCAGTAGAAGAAGACCACTTCAGAGTACTCCAGGAGCAGATCATAAAGCACATAAGCTACTGCGATGCCGATGGGCAGTTCGAGATATTTCGCACCAATGCCGACGCATGCTACTGCCCAATGAGAAGCTTTCGTTGCTGCATTGCCCTTTTCGGAGCTGCTTCAACAAGAAGCAACACCAACAAAGGAACCAGGCAGAGAGCTTAACGAACAACGGGAGCAACCTTGCCTGGGAGCTTAAAGCATAGACTACATGTATGTAATATAACAATTCCTGCGCTTCGCTTTCCAAGTATGCATAGTGCTCGTATGCTGCTTGATGCTTGATGCTCCCAGGCTTCCTTTGCACGTACATGGGCCTGTAGGCTTCCTTTGCAGGCTTGCTCACCGATGTCCGATCCTCACTCACCGAAGCTAGCTAGAGATCGGTTGGTCTGCGTTTGATAGATGAGCACAATAGCAGTGAACAGCAAAATGCTCTGAAAAGGAGGAGATGCTGTAGCTAGCCTAAGCTGAGTGGCTGCCAGTTCAGCCTTGCGTGTGCGGCTGGTGCAACATTTCAATTTTCCTCAACCAAAGCAAGCTCGGCGGTGCGATTGATCATTCGTGCTCCTCGGTATGCATATGCATACACGTAGACTACGTGCCTAGAGTCTACCCCATGCTGGTAACCCGCACCCATTCTCTTCCCAGGTTCACCATTCGTACGGCAGTGGACGATGTTGCAGGCAGTCAAAATACTCTATATTGCCACAGCCATGCCCAAGCAGTCTTTGAGCTAGGCAAGATTGTCAGCTGTGTTACACCAGAGCCAACGCCTAGCCAGGGACCGTCTTCGGCAAGAAGCCACAGAGGATGTGTACTCAAAAAGGGGGTGATGTGTCCAGCCAGGTCCCGATCGGCCTGCCTCTGCAGCCAGGGGTTGGGATCCCATGTTGGCAAGCAAGCTGTGAAGGTGCGGCAAGGACCAGCACTGGCAGTTACCATGATGGGAACGATGCAGTGGTCTCTTCCTGGTGCTTTGTAAAAATTTTGCATGCATCATTAGGGGTCTTCAATGTTGCTCTTTCAGATCACTTTTTTGCCCTCTTTTCTGGCCCTTGTGGGGGAGCGTGGAAGGTTCTGAAAAGAAGGGGCGGAGAAGTCAAAAAGAAAGAAAAAAAATTCTTTGAAAGAGCACCTTTTTAGGTGCTCTTTCGCTCACAATTTTTTCTTTCTTCACTCTTTCGGTCATTCTTTTGGGTTTGCAGAAGCAGTAGTATTTAAAGCTAAGTCACGAAGAACAAGCTACTCAGCGAAAGCATTAACATCAAGGCTTGAAAGAAGTCATTCGAATGGCTTGTGACTTGTGACCGATTCAACCCAAAGCTCGTCCTAACATGTTTACAGTGGTCATGTTTCGCCTCTCCGCACCTCTCCGGTGCCTCCACTGGATCCCCTTTCCTTCCCCTCTTCTGGCTCCCCCAGAAAGAAAGAAAAATGGGCCAAAAAAGTGGTTTGAAAGAGCTACATTGACGACCCCTATTAGACTAGCAACTAGTTTTTCTTAACCTCGGCAGGTTAACTGCCTGAGTCCTCTACCCCTTTAATGGCAAATACCTCGGCAGGTAAACTGCCTGAGTTCTCAACCCCTTTAATGCTATTTCCTATTTCCTATTCCGGTGAAGCCAAAGTATAAGGATAGAGATAGTCATAAGCCAACAAAACTG